TGTGTAAAATTCTAATGAGTTCAGTGTCACCAACCTGTCAGTAAATATTATCTATGGTCATTACATGCCTGTTTGTGTCTTCCAGTTCATTCTTCTGGTTAGCATGCAAACCTTAAAATTACTTAAAATTAGCAGGCCCAGTTGATGCGAATTTCGTTTAGTTAAATGTTAATATAACATTTATTGCTAGTGTTAGCATAAAATCTTTTCAGATTTAATTTTGATGGTGTTTGAATGAATATGTTTATTTAGATTTAAAATTTATCTATGAGGTGAAACATTAAGTGTTTCTTCCCGCTTTTTTCAGTTTCTTACTTTTAGTTCATTTCAAATTCAGATTCTCATTGAAATTTTGCAGCAGTGTTAGTGCAGGGTTACTGAGTCTTTTTGAGTAGCTAAATGTCTCCTGTTTCTCTGAACTGTGCCCCTTAAGTTTGGTAACCAGCTATATCACATACATACAATTTACATTTTGAGACACAGAATGCACCTGTACCCTGATTTTGAAACTTGATGCTTGACCTTCATTTCCACCTGATGCCCTGTCGAATAACACATTAAGGTTTAGAAATGACACTCTACAGGCACCAGCGGCATCATCCAGCACAGATGTTGAATTCCTTTCCTCCTCTATTGCACAGTCTGAAAACTGTGTTCCCAGTAGGGCTGGGCGATATGGACTGAAAATCAAATCTCAATATTTTGAGCTGAACCGCGATATACGATATATATCTCAATATTGTTTTCCCATAAAGTAATAACAAACAGACAGTGCCAAGTCAGAGCCAAATGTCCTCAGTGTCACATGGGCACTTTTATTTACAGATAGCTGTACATGTACATGAAAAAATGGCTCAAAAATGTTGATTTGTCCTACCTTACTGCATTTCGACAGATATATCTATTGATCGGTGCTACCTTACCAAAAATATTATTGTCATTTTTATGGGCTGAAACTGAAAGCGGATAATCCACAATGTTTAAAAAACACGAACTAATGTAATGTAAGCAGGCATTGCAAGTCTGAAATACGTTATAAGATTAAGTGTTAAAACATGTCAGGTAATTTGACATACAGCATAGTAAATCAGCGTGATGCTGATAGTAAAGTATGATCAATGTATTTAATAAAATATTTAAAATGTATAAACATTGAAAATGCAGAAATAAACCATAACTCCAGGTAGGATAGATCAATGGGTGATTCTTCAAGCATGAGAAAAGGGGCTTGATTTCATTGTGTGCATACGCAGTACCCAAAGGTAGGATGTTTCCATAGGTTAGGATGAAATGTTAGAACACCGGCATATATTATTTTACCAACCAGGGGGGTATTTCACTAAGCAGGATTTCTTGCTTAGCCGGATAACTTGTTGGATTTATGGTAATCTGGGCTAAATTAACTATATAAGGGCGCTTTTCCACCGCACAAAGTACGGTACTTTTGGTACTTTCGCTTTTCCATTGACTTCCGGTCGAGTACCAGTACCGAAATCTCGAGTACCGAAAGTACCAAACCAGTTGGGGTACTCCTTTGGTACTTCGGTACTTTGGGGTGGGACTTGCAAACGTATTTGCTGTCGATTGGTTATGCAAATAGCATGCCGCTGAAACACAAAATACAACCGCCATCTTTTGAAACACACA